AGAGAGAGAGAGAGGGAAAGTGAGAAAGCAAGCCACCAGGTCCGAGACTCAAACCGTGGTTGGCCATGTGGGAGTCCAGTGCCCTTATCCACCACGCCACCTGCCGGCCCCAGACCTTCTGTTGTTTTCAAGCAAAAAGGCAAGAGGTCAGGTGTTTTTGCCATTTCTTTAGTCACTCATTCAGAGTTCATAAATTCAAGGTGTTTTAGAAGCACAGCTTCTTTTGCTGTTTCTTAACATTAACTCTGTCTTAAAACAAAACAGAAAAAACTGAGATCATGGTGGACATTATTATGAGTCCATCATGGCACATTTTCCTGCTTTGTGGCTTTGTGCATATGCAGCCTGGCAGTCCTCAAGCCCGCCCTCTCGGTAGAATAGCCATTAGTTGTATAGCAGAGGAACTGAATCCTTTGATGAATTGGAGCATGCTAAGTATTTTCCAGTGTGTGTCTATTATCCTGTTCTTGACCTGATTTTGAGACCTTGACTTCACTTTAGGTTTTAATGTCAATCACCTGGACATTGCTCCCCGCTATGCCAGCATTCTCATGGGGATCTCAAATGGAGTGGGAACCCTCTCTGGAATGGTCTGTCCTCTCATCGTTGGCGCAATGACCAAGCACAAGGTAAAGTCCCCTTGGTGGCTGTGGTTGCAGTGTCAGAGGACTGAAGCACAGCACAAACTGGAGATCTCAAGGCTCTAGCCCAGACTGTTCATCTGTTCATCTGTATGTCCTTGACTTTAGCTGAGTCCGCTGAACTTAGGTTTTCCTTTTCTTTCTTCTTTGTCTTCTGTTTTTTTTTTTTTTTTTTTAATCATTGCTTACTGATGGCAATGGGGCTATTTGCTGTTTCCTCAACTGGGAAATGAAAGTTGGGGGGAGAGAGACAAAAGCCATAGAGACAATTTAGAGGCATAAAGAAGAAACTGAGGCAATCAATTCAGGATAAATGAGTTACTCAAGATTGTTTTATAATTCTATGTGATTCAACTTTATGGCCCGTTTCCATCTGCCGCTTAGTGTGTTCCAGCATAAGAATATTAGCACTGTGGTACTTCCTTATAAGAAGAACACAAATAAGACATTAATGACCCTTCCTAAGAACCTCCAAGGGTGTGGTCCTCAGTTGGTACTTGAGCCTTTGTATATTTAGACTTGGTTGGTTAGCAGAAGAGGTTCCCATGATCCATCCAAATTTAACCATACAACACAGTATCTGTATCTCTGTCACTGGGAAGGTTTCAGGTTGCTGCTTTCTGCAAGTATGAATTTTCTTTTTGTTTCCTTTTTTTTTTTTTTTTAAGAGCTTTTTGCTATAGGGCATGTGCACTAGCCAGAAAGACAGAGAGACAGAGAGACAGAAAGCGAGAAATCACTGGGGGGATGGCCATGCCACAGTCCCTTCTCCTCCTTTCTCCTCTTGGGACCTTGGGCACACAAACACATGTGCCCAGTGTGAGTTTAAGCCACTGGGTCTGGGACACAAACCATGGTAGACTACATGGGAGTCCAGTGACATAGCCATTACACTAACTGCTGGTCCTGCAAGTATGAATTTTCTTGATATTATGGTGTTTTTACTGAACTATTTTCTTTTCTTTCTTTTTTATAAAAGAAGAAATTCTGCATTAGGGCACATGTGCTCGCCAGAGAGAGAGAGAATGAGAGAGATAGATGGAGACAGTGAGAAGAAAAGTGAGAAATCCCCCTTCCCAGGGAAGACGGCCACGCCACAATCCCTTCTTCTCTGTTGTCCTCCTGGGATCTTGGGCATGCACTCACATGCACCTGGCATGAGTTTCAAGTCACCAGGTCCGGGATTCAAACCATGGTCAGCCATGTGGGAGTCCAGTGATGTAACTGGTATGCCATCTGCTGACCCCATACCAAACTATTTTCATACTTTGCCTATTACAAAAAAAGACTTCAGGAATTCTTCCAGTTTCCTAAAGAAAGTATGAGATGACTTTTCCTACTTTTGAATAGAATAAGAACGGGGATATTGAGAATTTTATAGGTAGAAGATCCATTTCCCCCCCTCTCTGTTCATGAGGTGACCAAATTGGTAACTTGACTATTACATCCAAGATACTGTCATTCCCCAACTTCAAACACAAATTCTCACTATTTTTGGATTTATTGGTTTTTTTTTTTTATGTAGAAAATCCTATTATAAAGAATAAGCAATTGGTAGTCAAGAATGAGCACTTTAATGGTTAAAATTGTTAGGTATCCTACAGCAACCAAGAAAGATACCTCTATGTAAAATGCTCTGTTCCAAAAGCAGATTTAATTTAGCCTCCTATGTGAGAGAATACCCTGTTAGTATATTTTGAAGAGCTGGGAAATGGTGCTGCATGTACTTGGAAACATTTTTAAATGTTTTCAAATTAAAAACATTACACACAGTGAGAGGGAAAGTGAGAAATTGCCACCTAGGGGGATGGCCACATCACAATCTCTTCTCCTCCATTTTCCTCCAGGATCTTGGGCATGCCCACACATGTGCCCAGCATGAGTTTCAAGGCACTGGGTCTGGCATTTAAACTGTGGTTGGACATGTGGGAGTCCAGTGACATTATTACCATACCATCTGCTGGTCCCCACTTTCCTTTTTTAAATACACAAATTCTATTTGGATCCTTGATGTTGCTTCTTATTCTTATCCTCCCAAGAAGCACAGCATTCCTTGGGTTGGGCAAGTGCTTTTGTCCTGGTGGAGGCCTCCAGAATATATGGTAATCTCTAATTTTTGGTTAAAACGTTAATTGGTATTCTGCTTCCTTATGTAGACCCGTGAGGAATGGCAGAATGTGTTCCTCATAGCTGCCCTGGTGCACTACGGTGGTGTGATTTTCTATGGGGTCTTTGCGTCTGGAGAGAAACAAGAATGGGCTGACCCAGAAAACCTCTCAGAAGAGAAATGTGGAATCATTGACCAAGATGAATTAGCTGAGGAAACAGGACTCAACCATGAGAGTTTTACCAGTCCTGGAAAGAAGTCTTATGGAGCCACCACACAGAATTGTGAAGTCCAGAAGAAGGAATGGAGAGAACAGAGAGGAATGACCATTGATGAGGAAGAGCTGACATCCTACCAGAATGAGGAGGGGAACTTCTGAGATACAAATCTGAAGGGCACTTCCATCTACACTCTTAGAACCAGAAAGTATCCATACCTATTGCCTTCCTCATAGCCTGGGTTACCAGATGGCCAAATATGAGACACTGGAGGTAGGAGAGGGTGGAGAGATTTAATTAGCAACACAAAAAAGAGAAATATCTTGCAATGAAACTTAGGATGGAGCTTGCTCTCAGTTGATAAAATATTTAATATATATGTTGAATTAGCATTTGACCTTTCTTGCAAAGAACTGAACTTATTCAAAAAGAAATGATTTGAAAAATAAGGGAGACAATGCCATGTTGTTAAAAAAAAATGATGGAATAGGGATATTTGGCTTGGAGGAAAGTAAACGTAGTTGCTACTGCATCTCTGACAGCAGCCATGCTGAGGAGGGTTTCTTATTCTTAAAAAGATACCACTCCTGGTGGCCTAATGTTGTGCTAGGTGCTTTCTGAATGAACATTATCATTTAATCTCCACACCCCAGGACATACATTTCTTATTCCTGTTATACAACTAAGGAAATTCAATAATAAGAAGTTAATTTGCCCAAGGTCATCATGCCAGATCAGTGCAAGATTCATGTAGACTCACTTAGGTGGCATTTTCATGAAAGAACATTTCAGCTCAGTGTAGAGAAGGCATTTTTAATAACAAAAACTGAAACTGAAATGAGTTGTCTTGTGGGTAATGCCTTAGTTTGGCAGGAGTGGGGATGGAAAATTTGAATTGATGTGGTAGAGGAGATTCAAATACGGTATTAAGGATTCAAAGACCCTTAGGGTCTTATATTTTTCAAAGAGTCAAATGACTCTCGAATGTATAGTTTTTAAAATAATAAGGGTCACAGATTATATGAAAGATTTAAATAGGTTTAAAAAAAAAGAAAAGTTAAACAAGATAGTCAAACTTCCAGTAATCCAATGGTCAGAATGGCTGAAAAGAAGTAAAAGGATTGGCTATTAAATTCTGTATAATGTCAAGAATGCAGTTAAATAATGTCCCAAATTACTTATAAACCTTTATGACATTTAATAATTTAAAAAGTAGGTTCATGCTTTTTTGTTGTTGTTGTTGTTGAGATTTTTGCTGTAGGTGTGTGTGCTCGCTGGAGAGACAGAGAAACAGAAAGTACAAATCACCCCCAGGGGGGTTGGCCACACCTCAATACCTTCTCCTCCAGTCTCCTCTTAGGATTTTGGATACACATGCACACGTGCCCGGTGTGAGTTCGAACCTGTCAGGTCCAGGACTTGAACCACAGTCAACCATGTGGGAGTCCAATGGCGTAACCCTTACACCATCTGCTGGTTCTGATTCATTCATTTTTTTACAGTAAAACTCTCTTGAAAGAGTCCTCTGTTTAAAAAAAGTATGTCTTTAGCCCTTCTGCTGGTGATTATATTAAACAGTTTGATCAGATTATATTAAATTGTAATTGAAGTATTCATTATAACTATTTGGAATAATACAGGGAAACATCAATATTATAGCAGTAGATGTACCAGGAAATATTAGAACGAACCTATCTGTGACAACTAGACCCACAGGGCTGAAAAAAATCATCTTTGATGGCCTAAGGCAATAACATGGATACTCTCTGGATGTATTTGAAATTTTAATGTTGGCATGTAAAGGGTTATTTGAAAATAAAATTATTTTCCTGTTCACTGGTTTTGAGCATCTTATTTCTACTTTCCCAAAAGTAAAGTATATTATGGGAAAAATGATAGATTTACTTGTAATTTATTATTGTAAAGTGTTTTTATTTTATTTTTTTTTCTGATTTCTCTCATAAATATTTCTGGTTCCTAGTTGTACCAGCAGAGTTATAGTGTATTTTGTACAAGACAATGATCTTGGGGAAAAAACATTGCTTGACTATTAAATATTATTCTTTATATCATTGGTATATAATTAATGTTATCAGATATCTTTAAATCTCTTTAATGAGTGGATTCATGTAAACCCCCAAAGAACAGCTCCCTGTGTGTAGAAAGTGCTTGATAAATAGCTATCATCATCATGACCTCTTTTAAGCTTTTGGAGAACTTTCCAGCTGAAAAGAAAGTATATTATATCCTTTTCATCCATTAGCCCTAGAGTCTATTGTGAAAGTTGTGCTGTTTTCTAAGTAAAAATATTAGTAACTTATGGTAGCCAGTGTTTTATTTTTTCTTGTATTAATAAAGTCAAATTACTACATTTTAAAACATCTCATGATAATCCTTAAAGTAATATTGTAGATCGTGACACAAAGTTGTATTCCATCATTTGAAGTTGTGACATAGATATATATACATATATATACATATACATATTTCATATTTTACCTGTAACTTGCCCTCATAGTTTTAAAATGGAGCCCTGGATCACAGTGTGAAAAGCTAGAAAATACACTGTTGTGTTGCTGTGGGTTATTCTTTGGTAGGCTGGATTGGTGAGATAATTATATTTAAGTATGAGAGAAATGCAGTTTGTAAGTCCTTGTACATTTTGCTGTAAATGTTCATCTGTAGAACGACTCATGGAGCTAAATCAGGGATTCTAGCAGGTGAAGAAGGCCTGTGGGTGCTGGATTCCTTTTTTTTCTTTTTTCTTTTCTTTTTTTTTTTTACGTTTTTGCCACAGGGTAAGTGTACTCGCCAGAAAGAGACAGCAAGAAAGGAAGTAAGAAATGCCTTCTCCTCCATTCTCCCCTCTGCATTTTGGGCATGCATGCACACACACCTGGTGTGATTTTCAAGTCACCAAGTCCAGGACTTGAACCATGGTCACTCATATGAGAGTCTAGTGCCTTAACCACCATGCCATCTACTGGCTGAGTGGCTATTAGATTCTTGAGAGAAGAAAAGTCTCCACTAGAAAGCAATGAGGGAAGAAATTAAAGACATTTTTAAGCAAACCACTCCCGGCAGAGGAGAAAGCAAGTACAAAGACCCCAAAGTGGGGACCTGCTGGACATATTTAAAGAACAGTGAGTCCCTTAAAGTAGTCAGATTTGGGGCCAGCAGGTGGCATGGTGGTTAAAGATGCTGGACTCCCACATGGCTGACTGTGGTTCAAGTCCCGGACCTGGTGGCTTGCTTTCACACTTTCTCTCTTTCTCGCTCTTTCTTCTCTCTCTCTTGCTCTGTCCCTTTCTGGTCAAGTTAAAATAAATATATAAATAAAATTAAGCAGAACAATTCTTTTTTAAAAAAGAAAGTGGTCAGGTTCTAGATTTTTTTTTTTTCTTAAGAGAGAACATCTACTGAAAGGCAGAAGACTGAGGAGAAGCAGGATTGGTGGGGAAAGAAATAAGGGATTTTGAACTTGTTTGATATTGGAGCTTGACTTGCCTACTGATACCTAAGTGGTAGTGTCAGGTGGGTAGTGAAATGACAGTGTGGAATTTAGGTCAGAAGTCAGAGCTTGAGTGTACACTTGTGAGTCATCATCACATCTCTCAGTACTTGAAGTCATGAGACCAGATGAGATCATCAAGATTCTAGTGTAGAGAAAAACATGACCAAGCCTTGGGGGCACTCCACCAAGAAGAGACCAGAATGATGAGAAGGAATCAGCAGAAGAGACTGGAAAAAGGGAGATAGGGACTGGGGGTGGGGGAGCCAGAGAGAGTAGTGTCCTGTGGCTAGGTGAAGCAACGATGGGGAGGAGGACTTGATCAATGGTGTCAACGCTTCTGCTAGATCAAGGAAGAGGAAGACTGAGAATGGACCATTGGACTTGGCAACATGGAGATCATTGGTGACCTGAACATGACCACAAGGCCATGAATAGAATGTGTTTTCTAAGTGTTGACTTTTTTATTGTTTTTCTCTTACTTATGAATGAACAGCAAAGGATTGCCTCAACAGCTCACGAAAGATGGAACAATACAATAGAAGATAGGTATTTGTGTTACTAGTCACTTAAGTCCAGCTGTTGCTTCTCATTGTCAGTGAGCCAAGAGGCAAAGGCTGGAAAAGAAGAGAGTTTATTTCTGTAACCAGTTACAGAGAACCAGTCATCAAACACCATCAAATTGTCTTGAAAAGCTCAACATGTTCAGTATTTATAGGTATGAGATACAAGCACATATACATCATACCTCACTATAATCAATCAGAGTCAGTTGCTTTCCCCTGACAAATTATCCTGATTCCTGTTTTACTTCAACTACCCATGCCTGGTTTCTCACTGGATCTGAAACAGTTTTCCCTGGGACTCAGGACTTGGTCAGGTTATTCTTCTTAGAGGCCTTTCTTGACTTCAAAATGGACGCAGTTCTGCTGAAGCTTAAACTGCCTTGCTTCACTTGGAAGAAAGGAAACATCACAGTGAGTAGAATAAACTTTGATTTAAAACAGAATAGAAGATGTTTAGTGTATGAGACAAAGGCAAAAAACATTTTAATTAAAAAAAAAGGGAAGAAATATACAGAGAAGTAGTTAGGCTAGACAGAGAGCCTTGAATCTGAATGGTCAGTTCAGAGTCTATTACAATAATTTTAAAATTAGAGCCTAGATGAAGATTAAGGCAATGGAAATAGAAATGAGAGAGTAGTTAGAGAAAATTTTGAACAATTTTTTTTTCTAAAAAATGTAAGTGGTGTTTTTTTGTAGGAAACTTTCAAAATATAGAGATAAATATTAAAGGGAATAAAAATTACCCTACTCATTTTAGCCCATTCTTTGTTGCTAATAGTAGGAATACCTGAGTCTCAGGGGTTTAAAAAAAATAGAGGTTTTTTTTTTTTTTTTTTTTTTTAGAACTTTTTC